CTACTACTTCCACATTTGTTGTCCGACTTTCACGAAATTTATATCAAAATAAATGTTTAAAATTTTTTTGGATGACTACTATGTTATCTATTTCTTTCTCCCAAGATTTTATTTTACACCGCGTTTTGCATATATTTAAATATTTATTATATATTTTTATTTTTATTTTCTTGTTTATTTTAATTTCCACACAATTTCATATTTTTTAAATATAAAACATTATTTTAGTTAATATATACTTTAAATATTTTTTTTATTACTTAATTATTATATCCTTTTTTACATTTTACTCAATTTTTTTTTATTTCTAATGTACCCACCGCTAACCCGCTATTATTAGCTCTCATACAATGTCATAATTCTTCAATTTACAAAATTCCCTGTATATTACATTTTTTGTAAAACATTTTTCACTTTCTTCAATTAAATGTCCTTGATTGCTACATTCATCAATTTTAATTTTTACACTTTCTCTTTTTGTTGCTCTAGAAAATGCCACATAAGTTGACCATGAGCAAATACAGGATGTGGCAAATAAATTCCAATTTTTTTCTAAACTTTGTCCTTGTGATTTATTTATTGTCATAGCAAATGACACTCGAATAGGAAACTGTCTTCGTTTAAACTTAAATGGCAGTTCCAAATCATTTGTAATTAAATCTATCCTCGGAATCATAACAATTTGTCCTCGAGCAGGACCTGTTATAACTTCTACATAAATTATATTATTTTTCAAATTAGTTATAATAAATCTTGTACCATTACAAAGTCCTTTTTTAGTATTTAAATTTCTTAATAAGATTACTGTAGCACCAACTTTTATTTTAAGCCGATGAACTGGCATTCCAGAAGGTGTCAGTTTGAGAAACTCAGTTGGAAAATTTAATTGCTCCTGTGGATCATCACTTACAATACAGTCAATAGAGAGATACTCCTTTTCTTCTCCTTCCATTAGACAAAGAATTTCATCATTAATTTTGAAAGTATCCTCATTTTTAGGACAAAGAATCGCTCGATCTTGATTTTCTCTAATCCTTTTCATGGTAATTCTATCACCAAAAATCTCATTAATAAGAGATTCTTTTGATATAAAATCTTGTGGAATTTCAATCGTGTCTAGATTTAGTCCATCTGTATTTGATAATTTACCATCTCCGAGTTGCATTAACCAATTTGCAAATTCTTTTTCTTCCGCAGTTCTCATATTTTGCTGTAATTTAACCTTAATTACATTCCTCCATATAGGGTTGTATTTTACAGTCGATTCAATTATCGCTGTTTTGTGTAAATGAGGTACTACTGGAAGATTTTGTCTGAAATCTCCTGCAAATAAAATTACTTTTCCTCCAAATGGTTGATCATTCTTCATTAAATCCTTTAAAAGTTTATCAACTGTTAAGGCATGTCCAACAGTCATGCTCACTTCATCCCATATGATTAATTTTGCATTGATCAATTCTCGTGCAGCTTGAGAATTTCCTCTAATATTTGATTTAGCTGCATCATCAATTGGAATTGTAAGCTTAAACAGAGAATGATAAGTTCTTCCTCCTTTCAGAAGTGTGGCTGCAATTCCAGTTGAAGCACATGGAAGAATTATTTCATTTCTTCCTCGAATAACACTTAGAAATGTGTTAAATAAATAGGTTTTACCACTTCCTGCAAACCCGTCAATAAAAAACAAACGCTTAGGTTCATTTTCATTTTCAATTGCTCGCATTACTATATCATACACGTATTTTTGTTCATCATTTAGTGTAGATAATAAATAATCACCACGTATTTTTTCTTCATCTACATTATACTCTGTTTCGTAAATATTTATTTCAGTTGGATTTGGTAATTGAAATTTCTCACAACTACTTCCATTATTTATCAGAATTTGTTGTATATGGTTTAACGCCATATTTTCGGGATTTACAACATTATTATTTACAAAGTCCTCAATCATAAAATCTTTGTATTTATTCCAAATTGTTGGTACATCTATTGGATTTCCAAAGATGCAAATGTAAGCAAATAATTCTCGAAGTTGTGCAGGCATATTCGATTCTGTTGCTTCCTCCATCGTTTTTCCCCAAAGTCATCAGTCTCTACTAAATTTTTTGCAATTGCTGCATCCTTAAACGTATTATAAATAATTCCATTTACATTTCTCAAATCTTCAAAACATTTTGCTCCAGTCACATGTAGTAGAAGAAGACGGAGATAAAATCTTTCAATATCTTTTATGCTTACTGTATATAGTCTTGAAATTATTTTTTCACCACCTTTTTTACGTGGCTTCCACTTAGTTTCTTTTTTATTATAAACATAATGATAAGGAATATCTGTATAAAGATAATTTGCTGCATTTTCATCATATTGATTTAATTTGAACCATGCAGTCAGCGTAGTATCTCGATTTAGCTCTCTTTGAGCAGCTTGTTCTTCATTTCCTGCTCGAAAATAAACCATTTGGCGATCAGGCAAATGAACTGCCAATCTTATTACTGTATGAGATTTCATGAACAGATCATATCCATTAAGTCTCCACATTGCTTCTGGAGCACTAACATATCTTGCATCCATGAATGAGTTAAACCTCATCTATTCTAATGAATCTTGTACCATCTCGTGCTTGCACTTCATTGCAGCACAATCAAATCCTTTATAAATATATTTATATAGATATTTTACGCTCTTCACTGATGAACATCCCATACAGCACAGATTATTGCAATTGTATTGCGCAACGTTGCAATGTTGCAAGTTGCATGCAACATATAAGACATTGCAAGAGATATGGTGCACAAAATTCCAGCACACTTGTAGCGACATGACATTAATATTTCGAAAATATTGCATGTAATCCAATTCTATAATTTATATATATTGTAATATATTAAATTAACTACAACGTATTTTTTTAATGATTTATTTACATTTATATACCTGTAATGCAACATTAGTTTATGGTTGCAATAACAATGCATTATTGCAAATTCATAACATTGCAATATTGTTGTAATATTTTGTTGCAATCTTCCAAAAAGCGGACATTTTAACATTGCTGCAATTCAACAGCAATGATGTAGCAACATTTTGCAGTGAATTTGCAATATTGCGGTGAAAGATTGTTGTAATATTTTTGCAATCTATCGGTGCTGTATGGGATATTTCTAAATTAATATGTCGATTATATTTTATGATTAAATATGGTGAATACGGCACCACCCATCGATTATCCACTTCTTTATTTCTAACAATGTATTTTATTCCAATATCCCTACGTTGATAGATGGGATATCCATTTACATTAGCATTAGTTTTATCACTAAATTCTTTTGGAAATCCTTTTGAACATTTTCCATCGTCCCCAGTGCAAGGATATCTCCTCGAGGGATCTCCACATGGACCGTGAATCATGTGTTTCAAAACTTTTTCATTAAGTTCTGAATATTTTTCTTCATTAGGAATTTCAGCCCATACCATCATATCAATGACTTCTTGAAGTCGGGGCTTATCTTCATCGCTCAACATTGCAAGTAAATGCAAATGTGGAAGTCCTCTTTTTGAAATTCAATCACACCTGCATAAGCTATAATATTTCCAAAAATTTTATTTTGAATTAAATCCTTTAAAATCTCTTTGACATCCAAATTAAATGTTTTAGCGACTAAATCAGGTCGAAACTCTATTTGACATCCATCAAGATTATCCTTAATTTCAGGACATTGAGGATTGCAAGTCATGGTTAGAAAAATGTCTGGTTTACCATACTTTCTTACCAAAGACATAGCATCTTGGTATCTTTCTTGCATGTTCCTTGGACTGCCCATAAATGAAGATGGTAATATTACAGGTACACCAACTGTAATTCCCTCATTTTGTGCTCGATTATCAAGGTGATCCATTAATCCTGAATAAAGTTCTGCTCTTAATTGAGGTTGATTTAATTTAATATAATTAAGTCTATTGGCTTCAGTTTTCATATAGGCATCAAGTATAAATTGACATCTCAATTTGCCTGCTCTTTTAAATTGGCTAAATTCGGCTCTTGGTGCCAGCAGATGAGCATAATAATCCATTTGAGTTACTTTAAATCCTGAATATTTAGAATTATAAGATTTCATTTCTGAATGCCATCCATCGTTACCATATGGATATAACAAAGGATAACACATTGGGTCACACCTTTTGTCCAGAATTGATATTTGTTGAACATCGTTTGAATTTTTATTATAAATCCGAATGTCTCTTTCAAATGGAGGCTCACCATCTACATTCTGAAAGACCACAGCTATTTCATTAGCTTGTGGAGCATTATATTTTCTTTGATCATGTTGAGGATCGTTTCGAAAGGACAACATTAAATTTATATTTTTATTGCCTATTGGATTAAGATCTTGTTCAACTTGACGCATCATCTTGAAAGTCTTTGCAAATTCATTGCATTGAACCATAAAACTTGACAAATTTTTATTATTTCAAAATCACACTCTTGATTAGCTTTCTTATTCATTCTATGATTTATAGCTTCTTCTGTATCTAAAAAGTAAAGCTGCGCAAAGCGCGGAGCTTGCCCATCCGCTGGGCGCATTGCTGTCGAAGTCAAATGATGATATTGCCCATGAATCTTCAAGCAATAAGGAGCATTGTTCACAACATCCAATGGATTTCTATTGCCCGGGGCACCCATAGAAGCCATAGCTAAAGCGCTATTATATGAACGAATATTATTTAGGAAATTTTTCGATGCATAATCATTTCCCATGTATAATTTTTTAATAAAATCAGGACAATTTATTGACTTTAATGTAAGCTTACCCTTTTGACAACAATATGTAAATTTCCCATCTTTAGGTTTTTCACATTCAAAATTTAACGATTTGCAAAATTGGCATTCTATATTCATTTGGCCAAGTGTATGAACTGACACATTTATTTCATTGTCCTTGGCAATTAGCGCAATATGATGATTTAATTGTCTAGCTTGTTGCCTCCCTGAGCATGTCTCTGAGCATCAGCTTCAAGTCGTTGAGACCTTGTGTCATTATTTTCATGAACCCTCTGCTGAGCATGTCTTTGGGCATCAGCTTCGAGTCGTTGAGACCTTGCGTCATTATTTTCATAAACCCTCTGCTGAGCATGTCTTTGGGCATCAGCTTCGAGTCGTTGAGACCTTGCGTCATTATTTTCATGAACCCTCTGCTGAGCATGTCTTTGGGCATCAGCTTCAAGTCGTTGAGACCTTGCGTCATTATTTTCATGAACCCTCTGCTGAGCATGTCTTTGGGCATCAGCTTCAAGTCGTTGAGACCTTGCGTCATTTTTCATGAACCCTCTGCTGAGCATGTCTTTGGGCATCAACTTTGAGTCGTTGAGACCTTGCGTCATTATTTTCATAAGCCCTCTGCTGAGCATGTCTTTGGGCATCAGCTTCAAGTCGTTGAGATCTTTCCTCCGAACTCTCAATTTTTCGTATTGTCGTAAGCGCTTGCTTTTGCGACTGATTTTATATAAATTTCCGCCTTTTCTCTTTTGAGGCATACTTATCTGCGTCGTACCGTATACGGCGTATACGTAGGTATATTATAAATATATTGCCGTAATAATTATATTTATATTATCTATCTATATCTGTCTGTATAACCAAGAATTATTTATTCATTAATTCATCGATTTTCTTGATGAAATTTTTCTTTTTCGTGCTTATTCTGTTTTATATTAATTCTTTGTATAAGCACACAGCAGTCTTTTTATATAGGCGCACAGCAACCTTTTTTATAGGCGCACAGCAATCTTTTTTTACAGGCGCACAGCAGCCTTTTTTATAGGCGCACAGCAGCCTTTTTTACAGGCGCACAGCAGCCTTTTTTTACAGGCGCACAGCAGCCTTTTTTTACAGGCGCACAGCAGCCTTTTTTACAGGCGCACAGCAGCCTTTTTATATAATTTTATATATTTTTCTATTTATATATATATTTTTTTATATAATTTTTATATAATTTTATATATTTTTATATAATTGAATTTAGAATATCTACGAAATAATTTTTTATATATATAAGAAAAATGTAATAAAAGTGTAATTATTAAGTATAAAATATTTACAAATATTTAAATTTATTACAAATACCTATTTATTACAAATACCTATAGTTATAAAAATGTAAAATATCTACCGTCTCTCTCTCTTTCCCTCTCTCTCTCTCTCTCTCCCTCACTCTTCCTCTTCAACGTTTTAACTTCGTTTATCACTCCTTTCTCGTAAAGTTTTACGCCTTCGACTCCTTTTTTGTTGTACTAATTTCATTTATTATAATATTTTCTATTTTATTTGATCTATCCATTATGACATTTAACGTAATTGAATATGAAACCAGCAACTTATATAATCATTTATTAAATGACTCACGTTAAAAAATCGAAACTTACTCCTAAAGAGTGATTTTTACAAAATCACACCAATAAGTAATTTTGAAAAAAATTGTGTACGTATTTGTGATTATGTGTGCAATTCGTGTAAATAAACCTTTAATTTGTATGCCTTGACCATAGTAACATTTAAATTCAATATTCTTATTTTATACATACATTTCCTTCAACTTTTTTTAAATCAATGTGACACATAATACGGTTTAACCAAGATGTCTAAAGAGAGCAAGGAAAATGCATGCAGTTCAAATCAGCATAATGTAAGTAGATTTTAATTTTAGACAGAGAGATAGAGAGAGAGAGAAAGGGAGAGTGAGAGAGAAAGAGAGAGAGAGAGAGAGAGAGAGAGAGAGAAAGCGTGTCTTAAAGAAAGAGGGAAGGAGAGAGAGAGATAGAGCGTGTGTCTTAAAGAAGGAGGGAGAGAGAGAGAGAGAGAGAGAGAGAAAAGAGAGAGCGTGTGTCTTAAAGAAAGAGGGAGAGAGAAGGAGAGAGAGAGAGAGAGAGAGAGAGAAAGAGAGAGCGTGTGTCTTAAAGAAAGAGGGAGAGAGAGAGGAGAGAGAGAGGGGGAGAGAGAGAGAGAGAGAGAGAGAGAGCGTGTGTCTTAAAGAAAGAGGGGGAGGGGGAAGGGGGGAGAGAGAGAGAGAGAGAGAGAGAGAGAGAGAGATGTGTGTTTGTGTGTGTTAAAGAGAAAGAGAGAGAAAGAAAATTATTAATCTATTAATTTATCTATTTTTAGAATGAAGGTAGCGAAGATTTTAATTCCGAAAATAATCTATTAAACACGGAGGTACTACGGGAGTTAAAACGGCAACTGACCGCTGCTTTGGCCAAACAGCCACTACAACCTGAAGTGGCTGTTGATAATAATCCACAACCTGAGGTGGCTGTTGAAAATGTGCAACCTGAGGTGGCTACTGATAATCCACAGCCTGCAGTGTCAAAAGAAATGGAAAAAGATGAATTGCAACGTAAGTATCCATATTTATAAATATTTTTTTCTATTTATTTATCTATATAACCGTGACCTATTTTCACATTTATGGATTAATTCCCTTATAATATCAGAAATCTATGTATATTCTTTTTACAGTAAAAACTAAAGCTCGATGGGCAAGAGCAGGACGTGGCCGTGGACGCGGACGTGGTCGCGGACGCGGAAATACTATTATTAACTATATAAATATGTAAATCTGTGTTATCTTGTTCAAAGCAGCAGACAATTACTGTTGAACCTATTTGTCTTAAATAAATTATTTTCTCAAAAAGTACTTCGCGCTACTTAGGTTATTTTAAAAAAATATATAAAATATACCTGAAATAAATTAATAATTTTTATGTATCTTTTTTTTAAGAAATACACACACGCACGCACACGCTCTCTCTCTCTCTCTCTCTCTCTCTCTCTCTCTCTCTCTCTCTCTTTTAGAATTAGTAGTAAAAGAACAACTTGAAATGTATTTGGAAACTAACGATATTATAACAGAACATCAGTCGGGGTATAGAAAATATTACTCGTGTGAAACAGCGATTCAAACTGTCATTGACGAATGGAAATTAATAGTAAGCGAAGGAAAAATGGTAGGTGTAATTTTCATGGATCTTAAGAGAGCGTTTGAAACAATAGACAGAGAAAGATTATTAGGAAAAATGTATTATTATGGAATTAGAGGAATGGCCTTAGAATGGTTCAAATCATATTTAAATAATAGGAAACAGCAAGTGCGTTTCAATCATACATGGTCTAAATTATTGACAACAGAATACGGAGTGCCACAAGGCTCGGTAATAGGACCTTTACTATTTATAATATATATAAATGATATAATCGAAGGCTGTCCAGAAGGGTGCAATATAAAAATGTTTGCAGACGACACGCTTATATACGTAAGTGGAGAAAGTAGCACGGATATAGAGATAAAATTGAACACGGCTTTTAATATAATCGAACGTTGGATGAATATAAATAAGTTAAAAATGAATGCAAGTAAAACGAAGTATATGATAGTTAGAAGTATTCGAAAAGAATTGAGAGGTAATACTATTTTGAAATGTCTGGACGGAATTGAAATAGAGCGTGTAGAGACTATGAAATATCTAGGTATAATTATCGATGACAGACTTCGATTTCAAGATCACTGTGATTATATGTTAAAGAAAATAGGTAAAAAAACGAGTTTCTTAAATAGAGTAGGTAATTACATATCAGTGTATACTAGATGCAATGTGATAGATACACCAAAGTGGAAGACATGCTAGAGGCGTTGCAATTTATGTCAGTAAGACAAAGATTACAATATAATATATGTATATTTATTTTCAAGATATTGAATAACCTGTTACCAATTCAGTTAAGAGATAAGTTACAAATAGTAGGGAACGAATGCGATAGGGAAACAAGACAAGCGGGTAATATCGAAATTCAATTTCGAAAAACAAGGAGTGCACAGAAAAGTTTGTTTTATGAAGGAAGTATATTGTATAACGTCCTGCCAGTAGAAATTAAAACTTGCGATAGGCTCGAATTATTTAAAAGAAGATTAAAAGCGCATATCTTACATATGTAAATGTTAAACTGTATAAGAAAATAGCTGAGAAAGCTAAATAAAAGCTCATCAATCAATCAATCAATCTCTCTCTCTCTCTCTCTCCCCCCCCCCTCTCACCCTCTCCCCCTCCCCCTCTCTCCCTCTCTCTCTCCCTTTCTTTCTCTCCCCCTCTCCCCTCTCTCCTCCCTCCCTCTTCCTCTCCCCCCTCTCTCTCACTCACTCACTTACTCACTCTCTCTCTCACTCTCTCTCTCTCTCTGTCTCTCTCTCACTCTCATACTTTACTTTTTTAGATAAATATCTGTAAATTAATATATATAGAGATATATTTTTATTAAATAGATATATAGTAAATACATATTACGTATAATTTTAATAAAAAATTACATATTAAATCATACATTAGAAATAGACATTAAAAATTATTATAAAAAAAAATCAATGAAATGAATCATTATGAATTCATATTTTTACATATCAAATTTTATTTTTTTTATTTTTCTTATTCTTCTTTTCACCATCACTTATATCTTTTCGTTTCTTATCTTTTTTCCCTTCTTCTTTCAATTCTTTTTCTTTATCTCCTGATTTTCAAATTCAAGTAGTGCTTGCAATAAAATTTCATCAAGCCCATCTTCAAGCACTGAAATTTTAAAAATTTAATTAGATATCTATATGTATAATGTAGATTTATATAGATATAATTTAAAAAATATGCAATCAA